TACTTTAATGGTATTGTTTGGCACGTCACACAAGCAGTGAGACACATCCTTCAGCCCCACTAATTCTGACTGGTACCACAAGCCTACCCTTTGGTATATTGGATGCCATTATTCAGTTTCTCCCTACTTATATTTAAAAGCCTGAGCATTTTTCCAATACATCACACACATTTCCTTGGAAATAAAGTCAGCTGTGCTTAGCACGAAGAGGAGTGAAGAACACTTTAGGAGAGAGGAGTGAGGAACAAACTGAAACAGCTCTGTATTATCATTAATTTATACTACAGTGGGTGACTTTGCCAACGTGCACAGAAAACAAGTGTGAGAATATTCACAGCAAAGCTTTCCTGAAATAATTCTATGACAATCAACCTGAAGATGCTAAAGCTTTGGAAGAAAGGTTGACAGAAGAAAACATTCACAAGAAAAATGGAAGGAAAATAGATATAACCATGCCAAATTCTGACTATTCGGCATATAACAAAACAGGGGTTGGACCTGATGATCTCTTTAGGTCCCTTCCGACCCCTACAGTTCCATAATTCTGTAATAAAGTCTCTTCTCCAGATTTGGTGTGGGGATCAATATGACACTGAATGCTCTGTCCCTCTATACATTTACTGTTATCACATCACTTCAACCAAGTTCTAATTTCACTTAGGACCATGCTGGCAGGGAGTTTTGCTGTCATTACTATTATTTAAATGATAAATAAAAACACACATTAAAAAAAAAAAAAAAAAAAAAAAGATTAAAAATTTATGGAATGATTGAGTTTAAAGTGTGCAATTCAAATGAGGGAAAAAAAAAAGTACTTTATAATTTTTTTCTTGATAACTCATTTTAAACTTATTAACATCAACAGAAACATAACATCTATTGAGACAGCCTTTTGAGAACTCCCCAAGCTAAATATTTATCAACTCTTAAAGTATTCCTAATTTATTGAGATTTATTATATTCTCTTTGTTGACTGTCCATTAATCTCTGCTGATAAAAATTTTTTATCTATGTCAGCAGATTTACACCACCAGATGTGTTGTAAGATGTAGATGTAGCTCCATTTCTGAACAACAAAAAAAAAAAGTTGAGAAAAATTCTATTTATACAGCTTATCTCCCCATCACCTCCTTTCTCATTTTCTGTACCTTTACCTCTCCACAACATTATTCTGTCAATCTCTTCAATTTGCCTATCCATCTTATGAAAAATCCTTCCTCTTCTGAGCTCTTTTTGTCTTCACTTAACTGTCCCAAAAGATCATTCTTCCAATCTAATTTTCTTGGCTCTGTTGTCTGGAAGACAGGAGGAGCTTTGCTAAGTTTGGATCCAAACATCTAGATACTGGCCAGCTGACACACATGGTCCAACCAATTCCTTTTACCCGCGAGTAACATGCTTTCCAGAAAACGCTGGGCTCCCCACAACCATCATTTTTTGCTTTCTTCCTTCCATATACTCTATGACAATAACTGACAAGTATCTTTGTCCTGAGAATTCTGTATCTCACTTTCTGTTCTCAGATCTTCCCTCTCTCATATGACACAATTGTCATATTTTGTTTATCTCAGACCTTCTGCTGTTTCATAGGAATGCCCAACATTTTGTAGTGTTCTGTTCACCCATTCAGTTATTTTCCCTGTCCAATTTCATCTCAATTTTTTTTTTTTTTTTTTTAAGTACAAAGAGGAAATAAAACTATGACTTCAGTGAATTCAGTGAAGCATATACTAGGTACATGTCTTTGAATGCAATCTGCATATGACTAGTACAAAAATACTATATCACTATGCTGTAGTACTATGCTGTACAGTATATATATATACTATGTACATACTACACATATAATCCTGTATGATGACATAACAGTGTTACGCTAATGCTTCAATATTGTTTTGATGCTTTCCTCTAAGACCCCCAGCTCAGGAACAGTACAGGAGAAACATTCTCACTTCCTCTCTAAAGCTGTATGCTAAACAGAAGAAACACCTCTTCAAAACAGAAACATAAATTTTTTCTTAACATCCTATCAATATATAAACAACCTAACAGTAAATTACAGCTATGACTCCATAGTCTGCTGTGACTGAAGTTTTTCTAGTTCATGTCACTAATAATTCAGTGACCTCAAGTAATACTCGTTCACTGTGGAACTCAACATAACTGCTGCTTGGTAGCTCGATATACCAAAACACCAAAAGTTGTTCCAAAGGTATATAAAATGCAAGTGTGTACAATTGAGAATGGAGAGGTCCATAGGCCTACACCCTCAAATAAAAAAGTGTTATCCAGAGCAATTTCAAATCATTCAAATCAGACGGATATCTTTGTCTATTTTTATTTATTATATCCAGCTTTTTTTTTTTTTTTTTTTTAAGTCATACAGAGATACATTTTTTAGAAAAATCAGCTGGAATTTTCTCTAACTACACTGAGCTAGAGCTGGCCAAGTTCCAGAACTTGAATGGAACTCTGGGAAGCAGAAGCATCATAAAATAAAAACACTGCCTCTTATACTACCTTGCTGGCACACTTCAACACCTACATGGTCAAACATTTGTTGAGATCTTCCACTGTAAAATACTATGCAATGATGCATTAACATGCTTACTGGGAGTTCAAATATTAATTTAACCTTTTTTCACTTATCTCATATCAAAAATCATGTGTATGGTAGAAGATTTATACATATCAATGTGCAAGCCTCAAAGAAATCAATAACATTCACTAAGTATTCATTATACTAGCAAAATACACACCAGAACATAAAATCATTTAAAATAAGCATCAGCTGCAGTTTTTCAAAATTAAGCTGCCTAGGAATGTTATTAAATGATAAGAAAAGACACTAAAATAATATTGTTTTTTCTGTTTTGAATTTTACTCACTAGATTTTAATGCATATAAATGTTGCCAGATGGAAATATGTTTGTACATATTTTTCTGTATTTTATCTGGATAGTCAGCACACAGATGAATTTCAAAGTAAGAAAGGTTCTGTAAAGAAACGTTATGAAATGTAAAGGCAAACTATACAAGCCAGGGTATGATCCTAGAGGAGTAGACAGCGAGTTCTGCCAAGGTGTTCAAACGAATACAATTCAAAAAAGTGGCTCAGTTAAACTGCTAAGAACACTGCGTACTTGGAAAGGATATCACAATGGCATCAACTGCAGCCTTCAAAAAAAAAATCAGAGAGAATTTCTAATGAACAATGTCACTTTTGTAGTAGGTTGGGTTTTTAATACCTTTATGTTTTATTATACTAGTTAAAAACATGGATTTCTGAAAAGACAAAGGAAGCTAGGTGTAAAAATCAGGTTACAAACAATTATATAATTGTTTAATTAATGCAAGGAGAGATTTGAGAAAATCTTCCTAGAACAACTGCTGAATCTGTATATTCAAAGAGAAGGTCAAACCAACAATCAAAGCATTACAAGAAGGATTTTAGAAGTCTGAGCAATAACTCAAAGTGCAACTGTCCTTTAGACAATGTTTTTTATGCTGTATATCCAGCCTCTGAGACACAAAAGAGGCAAACAAAAGAAAAACTAGAAGTTGGTAATAGTTATAATTCATCTGAAATGTCAGGGGGTGCGCATGTGCCCCACAAATGGGATATAGAGCAAGTGAAGTAAAGAAAATATATAGAATGTTAAAAAGGGTGAATTTATGCAGCAAACTAGATATAGTGGAAGTGATTTAAAGGTGTCAGGTTTCAAACTGGTGTATAACCACAGCCTCTCTCGTATAGCAACGGTGCTAACCATTCTTACCAAGGTTTGAGGAGGTGTTGGTTTTCATATTTGTTTTGTTTTTCTTCTCTCATTTGAGGCTTCTTTGTGCTTAAATCTTTCACAATCAAATGTAGTAAACATGCTTTAGATATATCATTTAGGGCTAGGCCAGACAGAGCCTTCAATTAAGTAATGCAAATAGAAGCTTTTTATTCTTTAAAATTGTTAATTATTTTTCAGTAACAGTCTACATGCCAGGATCCTCCAAAAAATTATTTGTTGACCTGTGAGTTACATCCTGAAAGAAGTTCTACAGATTATTACTCTGTATTATATCTTAAAATGAACAGCGCACAAAAATAACGAATGCTACATGCGGTTAAGAGAATTTGAAAGGTACCATTTTCTAAGACTGCTAAAAAAAAATAAAGTAGCTGAAAACACACATCTACAAAACTCACATGCTCATTTTAACATGAAAGCTTTCATAACAGTTGGAAAATCATTAATTTATTAAACATCTCTGTAGTTCTCCCTGCAACAGGGCTAAATCCTCTAACACACACAAGGAGGAAGGAAAACAGCAGGACGGAATATAAGGAGATTTGCACAGAGCCGTGAAGTATTTAGGCAGCCAGAGTTCTCTTTGGCCTCTGAAAGGCTCCCAAATTGACTTACTTAAATCATAAAAATAATCTATGCCAGTCACAAGACTCTTGAAACCTATTTCCATGCCTCATATATTTGGCTAGCATAGTTAGAATAAAAATAATATTAAAAAAATAGTAGCCACAACTCCAAAAGAAATTATATTTTGCCACTGTTGGAGTACACGTTGTTAGATGGAACCTATAGCAGCTCTTAATTCTCGCTTCTACAAAATCATGAAAGCTTTGTTGCTTCTGCCACATTCTCAGTGGTAATCAAGGTCTGTGATCGGTTGCACCATTGTAAAAGTTGTTATGAATTTGGCATTACACTTTCCTTATTGTAAGAACAGATGACAGTTTTAAGCAATACAACATTGTTGAATTTAAAAAGAATTAAAAAAAAATAAAAGTGATTTTGAGATTTTGAACGTGTTTTTGTTGCAAGATTTTTAGAATTTCAACAAGAACTTCCGAAAAGTAAAAGTTGAAAAACAAAAATCAGTTTAAATATAAAGATTCCTCCCAGGATGTAATGAGGCTAAAGTGTCCTAAGTACACAATGACTTTCTGCAGAAACATTTTTGCAAGAAACTCCTTCTTTAGTACTTACCTGCAAGCACCGTTGAAAGAGCCTGTGGCATTTTCCTCACTGCTTCAACTAACGTATATCTGAATGATCATGGCTCCTGAAATATTAGTGAGAGAAAAACACAGGGAATTAAAAATCCATTCCTTAGAGGAAAAGAGAACAAATAACAAATGTCAGAGAAAACTGAAGTATTTCAGTATTTCATTAGTCTTCACAGAAAAGACTGTGACAAGATGCTTAATTTTGATAGCAGAAATGGAAGGATCTCCATGTTTATTGCTTGCATTAATGTGGATTAGAAATTTAAATAAGAATGGCATAATGAAATTCACAATAAAGATTTTGTAAAGAACAAGCCAAAGCAATCCTTGAACTCTGAGTCCTATGAATCCAGCATATAATGTAAGTCAATAAAATGGCAGTAACTTGAAAAGGGCAAACATCTATATGTTAAGATGGGGGGGGGGGGGGGAAGGAGGAAGGACGCCCTAAACTGCTGAACAATCAGCCCAACTTCAATTCCCACAAATATATTATGGCAAATGGTGAGCCTCAATATATTTATTGTTTCTTAATATTGCAGTAAAAATAGACTTGTCAGGAACAAACTGTGTCAAACCAGTCTCATGTCTTTCCTCAATTTGATAACTACCTAGGAGACAGGGGGCATGAAATACATATGACTAAGGCTTTTTATGCAGTCCCATATAAAATCACCACACAGAACTAGAGAAATATGGTCAAAGTACTGTATATTGCATATGCTCATCTGTCTCAGATTGAGAGGATATCTGTAAATCTCTTTCAGAGAGTATTTCAAGTAGGGTCCCATAAGAATTTTCTCTGCCCTGGATTTTATTCAATATTTTGTCAATTACATGGACGCTGAAGTAATGAGCGCACATCTGAAGTACATCTGGATATCTATCACTGAGACAGAAGCACTTAAAACAAAATAAAGGACAGTATACTGAGGCCAGTAAATTCACCCTATTTTTCAATTAGAGTGGAGCCAAACTGAAGATAATGCTAATGAGAAGACTAAACAAGTTTATAAACTAAATCAGTGCTTTGGAAGAAACATTGAAGAAGCTGGGTTTGTTTCCTCAGGAAAGAGAGGGCCTAGTCCATCCAATAGTCAAACTGCAAATATTATTCCTACTGACAGGGACTTTCTCCTGCAACCTCCAGTCTAGCACAAAATTGGTAGTTCTTCCCCCTGCTGTGCCACCTAAAGATGTGATGAATCTGGTGCTGCCCCCAAGACCTCTCTGTTAGAAAAAGGGGTTGCCCAGCTGATTCCCAAGACTAAGAAAATTTGCTCTAGTTATACTTGATCCTGCTTCTCTACTGAAGCCCTGCCTACATCTCCTGAGCTTTCTTCCAGACGCTATGATTTCCATTGATACTTTTATTTTTATTCCCTGTTACATAAAAAGAGGCAAAACTAATCTGCAAATTTTATCAAACTTCCAGGCAGATAGCTGTAAGCAAGCTTCTATTCTCCAACTGTGAATGTACTGAAACTATAATACTATTCTAGCTTTTTACTTTAAGAATGTTTTTCTCCCACCCACCCACCATGAATGCCAAGCCTGTCAATCACATTAACAACAACAAAAAAACATATGGGAGTGTTTAAGGGGGAAGAGCTGACATGAGAAAATGCTCCTGCAACTTATTTGGAATCAACTCCAATGTGAGTATATGGGAGAAAAAAAAAATAAGGAATATATGGTAAGTCATGCTCCTTTCATTATTTTTGTATAAAATGGGCATAAATGATATCAGTGAAAATACTTTATATTTAAAAAAAAAAAAAAAATGTTACCTTCTTGAGCTAAGATTTTTCTAAAGTATATTTTCCAGAGAGCATTCCAGTAAGATCAGTTGCATGCAGCTGCTGCAAGTTTTTTCCTAAGCAGAACTTAACTTTGAAAGTTCTCAAATAAGTTTAACATATTTAGTGCTTATCTTCTTTTAAATATATAGCTGTATTTAGCAAGAAATGCCAGTGGTATGATCTAGGAACCATTTTCTATACTGCTTATTCTCTTATTAGAGATTTCTATGAAATTGCAAATTGAAAACTCACTTTATGAAGCTCCAAGGAGCTGTAGACTATACAAACATGTCTCTTATATAGCTTGCACATTTCAGATATTAGGAAAAAAAACATTCAGATGTATACTGTAACAATGTGTTAACTCTGCTTTATGTATGAATTATAGGGAATGAATTTCTGTTTAGAGGTCAGATTACATGGTGTCTACAATGTGCTCGTTAGCTAAGATTCCCCTGAAATTTGTTGCTTCCCAAGGGGTAACAAGATAGAGTTCTGTATTAAATGTCAGTTTTGGTAAGGGCTCCATTTAATAAAAATTCTCAATGTACAGAAAATAGATTTGTGCCTTTTTTCAAGGAGTGAAATTGTAAAGAATACTGATGAAAAGTGTTAATGTCTTCAGTTAGATACAAGCTTAAAATAACAGATTACACTCTGTGCATGTAGCCAACCCATTTTAAAGTCTGCCAGCAACCCTGCCAGATCAACAGACTCCCGACACTCAGTATTCAAGTATTGAGTGTATATGACCTGCCCAGGGCTAGTGTTGGTTTTCATTTAAGTTTCTACAGTCTGCTTGAAAGTTTTGTGTAGGGTCATGGCAATTTGCAAAGAACCAATTTGTGGCCCACCTTTAGATGGTGGATTCTGGAGGCCAAAATATGGAGGCTCAAGGATCTCCCCCACTCCTGGAGGCTCAAGGATCTCCCTCATTACAGTGTGCACAGCTGGCACCTGTTCAACTGCACTCGTTTAATTGGATTGCCATGAAATTTGATAAATTGCGTAAAGTAACTAGAAGCATGAGGGTACTAATTAATAACCAAATCTAGACTCCTACTTATTCTTGAAATACTCCCCTTGGAAGTAGTGGAAAGTAAGCAGAAGCACAATAACACTGCATTTTTATTGCATGTACTTGAGGAAAGAAAACTACAGCATTGACCAAGCCAATATAAGTATTGGCATCAGATAATAGCTATAGGCTCCCAGATGACAATGCCCATGTTCCTGGTCTTTAAATTTTGTCGTCATCACCACATTTAATCTGGCTGAAACATAAACAGTAAAGTATATCTTGCAAACCACAGTCCCTGTGGTTTGGCCACGTCTGCTACAGCCCCTGTGGAAACACCAAGCTGAGCACTAGTTTCCTAAATAGATGTCCTTCTCAGTAGAGAGCATAACTGTATAAACATTGGTCTAAGGAGAGTACTACCCTGAAAAGCCAGAATATAAAATTCTGGCAGTATCAACAAAAGCAATGGTAGAAGAATTAGTCAGTGTTTCAGGAAGGAGAGCAACGAGTGAGAAGCAGAGTGAGAGAAGAGCAGGGCACAGCAGGGTGGACAAGCTAGTAGGACAGGGCTTCAGCTCATACTGCAGCCTGGGAAGCAGCATATAAGCAGAGGGTTGCAGGCTGTAATGAGTACCTAATTGTGTGCTGGGATCTCTGAAAATGTTACTGGCCTAATGGGCCATGGCAGAAAGAGAAGCAGGCAGCATGCACTGAATTCAAACATCCTCTCTGCCCTTAAAACTCTATTTTTAGTCTGCCTCTGAGATGCTCTCAACTAGAACTGCTTACACCTGCCCAGTAACTAAACACTATACCGCATAAATAACAGTATTGCTGCACTTTGCTTTATTCATGTTTCATACAAGCAACCATTAAACCATAATCCAGTCTCCCACCACTGCTTTCTCCCACCACTGCTTCCTCCCACCGCTTCCCTCTTCCACCAGACCTGAAGGCCCTACTGACACAATTACTCCTGGACTGAAATTAGGGAGGCAAAGTCTCTTAAAGGAGAGGTACCTCTTTCTTCTGGTCCTGCACACAGTGGAAGAAAGCATTGCTCCCTCCTATCACCCAGGGAGATGTCGCCCCCTTGGAACCACTCACAAACAAAACACTATAAAATTCAGTTTAACTTTCCTTATACTGTCAGCAGCCAGGCACTTGGTGAATACTTTCTGTTCTACAGAGGTAAGCTTTAATATGCAAGGGCATCTATCTTTACTCTGCATTTCTAAAATTCCAGCTGTTAAGTTTATCTAGATTCAATGTTCTGCAAAGTCACAAGATAGGAAAGAGTTAAGAGTATTCAGTAGCAACAACTGACCTGTCAGTCACTTGAATAGCAAAAATACATGCAGGAAAATGTGAAGATAACAGATGAGACATTTTAACTTAGCTGAAATCTATTTTAACCTTTGAACACATGTCCAAATAAAACAGGAAGAGTAATTGGAAAGCAGAATATAACATACCTTGGTCTCCAGCCTTTTAGGGAAGCTTTCATATTTCTCCTGATGTGGTGACTCAGAACTGCTTAACAAAATAATCTTGGTTTGTCTCAGCAGCCACAGATGCATCGTTGCAGTTTTATTGCCCAATCTATAAAACGATGGCTCCCAAAATTTCCCCATTGCTCCATTTTAGAGTATGCAACCTGCCCCCTCCTCCACTGTAAGAACTGCCTGTGCTGCTGCTCTTCAGCTGGAAGCATGAAGAGGCCGAGAAGCACTGTGTGAGGGGCAGGGATTCAGCTCCAGGGAGATGGATGGACAGGGACAGGGCTGGGAAGAGGCAGAAGTGTCCATCCTGAGACTCACTCAGCTCTGCTCCCTCCCATCTCCATCCAAGTCCCAGCTTCCACCAAACATCTCATCTTCCTCCTCCTGCAGCCTGCAATCTATGTCCAGCCAGACCATTGTGCAGCTCCCTCCTTAAAGGATTGTGGCCACAGCTCCTAATTTGGGGGTCTTCTGTGTAACATGTATAGTGTACGGGCACATAGCATATATGGAAATCACATCCAGACCAGTAAGTTATTGATTTCAAAATAGTTGGGAATGTTTATATTATATATTATTAATAATATTAATATGTTGTTAATATAATATGTAATATTATGTTAATATTATATATAACGCTATATATTAGGAACACTAGGGAAAGGAAAATCTTAATTTGTTTCCACACTGTTCCCTAGGTATCTTGCTTTTGACCACTGTCAGAAAATAAG